TCCACTCGACCGCCTACATACAGCTCAAATTTTCCATTTCTCTCTAACTTCACTCTCGCCACCCAAAACCAAGCAGCCTCCTCTCTCCCTCCCCACATCACCCTGGACTCCTTTCCAATCTGTTCTCCAAACTGCAATCAGGATGACTTCTTTTATTACACAAATCTGGTCATGTCATTTCCCTGCTTAACACCCCTTAATGGTTTCTCTGTTAGATAAAGTCCAGAATCCTTCACCTAATCCACAGGCCCCTTTGCAGCTGGGTGACCACATTGATGTGTGCCCTTTGGCAGGCGTTACTACCAGTGCCCCCTTGACTACTGAAAGTGTCTTGGTTTGGACGATACAGGACATGGTCACTCTTGTTACTGCCCTCTCCTCTTGCTCCCCGAGCTCACTGCCCCAAGGCAGCTGCCTCTGACCCTGCCCAATCCTTCCCGATCTGCACTCTCATGCCCAATGGGCTCTGCCTTTGAAGCAGTTTATCACACCTAAAACTCTGTAATTATCTGTGCAATTCCTTTTTAATGCCCACATTCCCACCAGACTCTCAAGTCCATGAGAACAGGCAGCCATCTGCTCTGTCCCTAGGGCTCAGCGTAGTTCCTGAGACACAGCAAGGGGACGTGCTAAGGTGCTGACGAGTAACCCCAGGGAGACGAGAGTCACAGCAGTGTGGAAGGAGAGCGTGCGCTGCTAAAGGAAGCAGGATATTTCCGATAAAAAGGGTCTTAAAATACTCTCAAAATTGACTAGAGAATGAGGAGCAATCTGGTGGCAAATGAGAAAGAATGTAAACACGGGGTCTTAACTATTTTAACTCTTCAGAGGACTCAGGACGATTGTGTATTTAAATGTTTATTCAGTATCTTTAAAAGGAAGGAGCTTCTAGAAGGAGAAATCACATCACTGGGGATGTTGGATGTGGAAGATGACAAGACGCAGGAGCTGCGGTGTCATCCATGTTATTTTTCCCTTGAAGGGCCGAGTCACACCCCTGGAGGAGAGGAACGGGTTGGGGCGGGGGGCTCCCACGCTCGGTGCTAGGTGTGTAAAGCTTGGGACGCCAGCAGGACAGCTGCTAAACCAAACCCAGTTTCTGGACGTCAGTACTGGCCACAAAACCCAAGGCCTCTGAGGCGCATGTGCCGGTTTGATGAACCCCGAGCGCTAAGTGTCATAGAAATGTCTATGCAGGCAGGTAAATCTTCACAGAGTGACACCAAAGCAAAATGAGAGTTCAGAAAGCTATTAACCTGCTACAACTCAGTGAAAGATACATTCTGTTCTCTTACAATTTAGGTTGTTAGAATGCTCCAGAGTACTCTCCCTCAGTGGGAAGTGTCAATCTCAGGAGTACGGTTCAACGTGAACAATTAAAGCCTGAGACCAAAGAACCTCAGAGAGCATTCTGAAGAATTAATTTATTCATTCATTCAACAAATATTTATGGAGTTTCTGCTACACGGCAGCCACTAGGGCAGACGCTAGGGACATAATTGGGGATGGGACTGCACTGCCCGTCTCCCTGCCCAGCCAGGAAGGAAAACAGCCAAGGACCAAGTAGTTCTAACAGAGTCAGATGTGAGTGCTGGGAGTGAGGCGTGGGTGTGAGAAGGTCACACCGAAGCCGGACCTTGGGGGTCAGGAAGCAGTGTCTCAACAAGCTAATGTGGAGGAGGAGGTGGAGGAGAGGAGCCGAGAAGGGGCCTGGCCTGCTGGCAGTGTGGAGAATGGGTTAGAGGGAGGCAACCCTGTGAGCATGAAGACATGTGTCGCAAGACTGTAGACACGAGAGAGGAGGTCAGAAGCTAGGATGGAGGGAAGGGGAGGGAATCGAGAACATTCTACCTCCAGACCCAGTGCTCTGATGTGAGCAGCTGGGTAGAAGGTGGTGCCACTCACTAAAAGAAGGAACTCAGGGAAACCACACTGGGTGGTTTCAGGGTGCCCATCAGCCACCCCAGAAGGAATGTCCAGGAGGCCGCTGGATATGCAAGCTGACACTCAGGAGTGAGAACTGGACCAAGACAAAGCTTTCAGAGCTACTAGTGTGACTCTCCGTGAATTCTGCTGTGGAGGACTCTGCAGTGGCTCTGGGTCAGCAGACTTGCAGGGTCATTCAACATGTCACACCTGTGGTACGGCAGGCCCTGTTCCAGGTGCTGGGTGTAGAGCAATAAAGCAAAGCTGCTCTCAAGGAGCCTTCATTCTAGGATGACCAGCAGATAAGACACAAGAAAACACACGAATAAAATTTCTGGAAGGGGCAGTGGGTGGGGGTGGTTCAGTCAGCTCTCTGTGCCAGTTTCCGAGGCTGATGGGACTCTGGCGCTGCCTGTTCCCAGGGTCCTGGGGCTGGGCCACGTGGCACATAGTTCAAATACCTGTCCCATTATTCCCAAGAGCTTCCTCCATTTTTCTGAGATAGTGTGAGTTGCTGTTTCTTGCAACTAGAAGAACTTAATGCACCCACCAATGTTTCTCGGTTCGGCTAGACTGAAGCCTGAAGCACACAGACAGTTAAGGCCCCTGACGCCCCCACAATGTGAATGACCGTCAGTAAATGCAACGCTATTGACCAGGCCCTTCCTGTAAGCCTCAGCCGCAGGCTTACTTCATCTGAGCAATAAGCACACTTCCAAACACAGGTAGAGCGCTCCAAGCCCCATTCCTGCTTTCCAAGTAACCTGCTAGATCTGGCAGACCACAGCATTTGTAAGAAAGACATATCTGGGAGGCGGGTAAAAGTGATCTACGTGGCACGAAGATGTACTCTGATTGACTTTTATCATTACAGAAAAGATCAAACATCATTTGCTCCCATCATCATAAATTGAAACTGCAAACTTTAATTCTCCAGGCAAAAAGGATAACACCAATATGGGAAAAATGTTTATGGTATAATATTAAAGTGAAAAAAGCAGAATATAAATATATTTTCATGTTATGATCAAAATTCTTTAAAAATGATATATGTACATGAATAAGGCCTGCTCAGGCAAAAAGGAACCTTGATGAGAAAAATGGTCTTGTCTTTTTCTTTTTTTTGTGAGGAAGATCAGCCCTGAGCTAACATCTGTGCTAAGCCTTCTCTTTTGGCTGAGGAAGACAGGTTCTGAGCTAAAAACTACTGCCAATCCTCCTCTTTTCCCCCCCGCCCCCAAAGCCCCAGTAAATAGTTGTATGTCATAGTTGCACATCCTTCTAGTTGCTGTATGTGGGATGCGGCCTCAGCATGGCCGGAGAAGCAGTGCGTTGGTGCACACCCGGGATCAGAACCCGGGCCGCCAGTAGCGGAGCGAGCGCACTTAACTGCTAAGCCACGGGGCCAGCCCCTCTCGTCTTTTTCTATGGGAAATTGTGATGGAAAATAAATGCAGAAAAAGAAACTCACCAACTTACTAATGTGGCTGCCCAGTTGAGAAACCTCACTAAGGGTAAACCCAGGTACAAATGGGACTTTTAAAAAAGAGTGTACGTTATTTAGAAAACAGCAGCTAAAGACTCTCTAGGTCTTTGGTAAAGATGAAAATAAGCAGGCCCCCTTTCAACTAAGTCACCAACACTGAACTGACATCTGCACAAGAAAATGCCAGTGGGCCCACCAAGCTACCTGTGCCTGAGTAAGGGTGCACCCCGGGCATCAAATGGTCCATTTGCTGTGAAGGAGCCTCCTCATGAGCCTAAGTCAGAGTCTGCAGGGAACCCCTAGTCGGTTACAAACTCTTGCAGAGAATCAAAAGGCTAGAATTTGGAACTAAGAGCTGGATAAGCTCCTATGACAGTGAATGTTTAAAACAAAGAAAACCATTCTCCATCACTAGGCTGTTCCCCCATGCTGTTCCATTTTACAGAGGAGAAGATTGAGGTCCAGAAAGGGAAAGGAATGTGACCAAGAGACTTCGTAACAAGGCTCTGGCAAGAGAATCTGGATATCTCTGCTCCCTGTCCAAGGTGGAAGGCACCTTGGGGCCTTCCATTACCCCTTGCTTGGGGTGACCTCTGTTAACCCCAGCTCCCAGAGGGGAGAGCAAAGCCCACAGTGGACCTGAATCAGAACACAAGCTCAGACATAAGGGAGATTGTTTCTGCTACGCTTTGTGAAAGTAGTTCCAGTAATGTCAGTGGTGTGCAGAGGATTACTGATGAAGACAAGCGTGCGACTCCAATGGAAGGCGGGGTGGTAGTAATTGGGTTTCCTTGGTCAGCAGAGGAAAAAATTCAAGTGACTTTCCTAATTTTCTGATCTGAGTCTTTCTAGGACGGAGCTGGGACATGTGATCATGTCCATCACCTCCCCACGGATTCTAGGTGAGGGGAACACCTGGGAACAGGGACCAATGGGACCAGTGGGCTCAAGGTGCTCTAAATTCCGTCTCACTTTCTAAATTAAGGATAAGGAATGGGAAGCCATCATCTCTCTGAGTGCCTAGCAAGCACTGTTAAATTTTAACTCTAGTTCCTTTCAAAGAAGAAACAACCCACATACTTGGCTGTAGCTAATGGGGCTACCACTTGCCCTTGGCCATTACTCTTAAGTGAAAGACTTGGTCAGAGGTCACTGATTGCCTGGATGACCTGGGAGGGAGTGGGGCATTCTAGGGGCCTATTAGGGCTACTCCTGAATGTGGAATCGGTCAGCCCAGAACCGCAAACACCCACGACATCCGCACGGGACACACACACACAGGTTCTATTTCTTCTCTATGCATCATGCAGCATTTTATCCCAAAGCTAGAGGTAGCCCCACAGATCTGACCTTCTGCATTTACAAAGGCATCAACTGGAGGTTACATGATTACTTTAGCAAATGTGCATCTAATTTCTACACCCACCCAAGGGCTGGGTTTTGGAGAATTCCCATTCCCGAACTCCCTGACTTCCCAGGGCAGTTACCACTGATGGTGTAACGCCCCCAGGAAAGATGAGACACGTGAGCCTGAAACCTCCCCCTCACCAGACGCCACGCCTGCGGCGGGCTGTACACACAGGCTTACCTGGAACATCAATCAATCTCTTGTAGACATTCAAGAAGGCTGCCTCAGCTTCTTTGCTTCTTTTACTCAGTGCATCAATCTGAAAGGGGATGGAGCAAAGAAAAGAAAAACAAAGAGCTCAAAATTCGTCAAGAGGTCATTTAAAAATCGTTACATATCTAATGAGTTCCCGCGGCAAAGACAAGTCTGATTTCTCCCTGCAGATGCCGGACAACTGGCCCTTCAACCTCGTAGAGCAACGCCTGCAGACCCGCGGAAGGGAGGCAGTCCCCACGGGCCTGGCTCCGAGGGTTAATGAGGCGGGAGCGCACCTTGAGATTACGACGCCTTCGCAACACTCAGTCCCCACGCCCGTCGAGTGGGGGCTCTCCCACATTTTCCACAGGGAGATGGCCCGGCGCACCCTTCCTGGTCTCTTTCCTTCTTCTGTGAGTATTTACTAAGAGCTGACCGTATGCTGGACACTGGGCTGGAGGTGGCGGCAGAGAGGGACAGCTCCCAGCCCCAGGAACTCGTGGGCCAGGAGGGGGAACTGGTATGTTTCATCAACAAATGATGAAAGCCCAGCCAGGAAAGTGCTAGGTAAGCAGAACCACCGGGACATGAAAAGGGACAGCAAGGAGGAAAGGAGGTGACGTCTGAGGGGAGTCCTCAAGAACAGTTCACCAGGGTGGAAAGGTCAGACACTGCACGAAAGGGGAAGAACACGTTCACACACCAGAGCAAAGTTCTTAACTCTGGGGGTCCACAGATCCTCTTTAAGAATTTTATGAAAGCCAAGGACCCTCTTCCTAGACACACACACACACACACACACACACACACACACACACACACACAGTCATGCACTCTATTTTAGGACACTCCTATATCCGCCTGTGTTCTGTCCATGGAATCTGGATTAAGAACCCACGGACGGGGCTGTAACACACCAGGGAATATGGGGGTCTGCTGGGGTGAGAACACAGACACGTGGGGAGAAGTGGTGCACAATGAGGCTGGACAGTTGAGGAGGTCAGATACGAAGGGCCACTGAGCCTGTGGAGGAGGAGGACTTTCATCATCCGGGCATAAGTCAGAGGGAAGGGGGACAGAAAGGGGCAGAAAGGAGGGGACTGTTCAGAGGCTGCTGCCCTCGCCCAGGTGAGAAATGTGTGGGGCAGCGGCGGTGGGGACTGAGGAGGAGAAGAGGCCAATCAGAGAGGTTAGGGTCCATCTGAGTTGCTGTGGGACACAGAGGAGAAGGCGAGCCAAGGTGAGCGCCCAGGTTTCTAGCTCAGGTGACAGGCGGGTTTCTGTCACGGCAGCCAGGACCTGTTGGTCTGGTGAACTAACCTAGTGGGGCTAGTTTCCCTCCCATGTAAAGTCTATTCATCAAAGACTGTGATGTGTGAAACTCCCAGGTATGGTGGACACACATCCAAGGAGCCTCCGATTGCTGGACGGACTCAGTATGTATTCTACTCACACAACACGCTTGCTGAGACAACAGATCACGTTTTACACCCGAAGCGTGCAAGACGCTGCATGCAACGAAGTTCACATTGGCTCCGGAAAAGGACACTAAATTATATATTCCTTCTGTCCCCGCACAGAATTATACTCTCCATCTCCAATGTTATTAAAGAGGTAAAAGGATGTGGTTTAATTACAAGGCCTCTCATCTGAGCCAACCCCGAATCTGTGAGGGGCTGAGAGTGGTCACCTGATGAAGGATGGGAAGCCCTGAGGAGTGGGACACAGGGCTGGTGGGGCCAGGTCCTGGGGATCCAGTGCCAAGCATACCAGTGCCACACAAGCATCTCCACCTTCTAACAATCGTGCCCTGAAGTTCCTATTCGAAGTCAGCTGTTTGGAACTCCAACACGTTTTCTCCTCCATAAAATAAGGTTGTGATTTAGGTGTTGGAGAAGTTTTCAGAATAACCCGCAAGGATTACTTAAATACGACAGGACAGTTCTCTATTTTTAAAATAAAATGTTTTTTCTCTCCCTCTGATTATTAGCAATTCATGCCCATTGTATAATTAGAAAAATACCAAAAGTATAGAGAAGAGAATTAAAATCCTAACTCTGCCATTCACTGGTGGAAGTCATCTTTGTCTGGCCTGTGTTTCATTTTTTTTTTCTAATTTAAAAAACTATATAGTTGAATAAAATGTAGGCAAACTAGATACAGACAGTTGATGAGAGGTTGTCTAGGGCTGGGGACAGGCTGATGGGGGGTTTGGAGGACAATGACTAAGGAGTGCATGGTTTCTTTTTTGGGTGATGAAATATTCTACAATTGATTGTGGTGATGGTTGCACAACTTTGTAAATACAGTAAAAGTCAATGAACTGCAGACCTTAAAGGGGTGAGTTATATGGTATGTGAATTATATTTCAATCAAGCTGTTAAAAACGTGTGTGTGCATTTGAAATCAAACTGTATGTAAAATTTTGTATTGCGCTTTCTTTCACGAACATATGATAAATCCTTTTCATCTCTTACAGAATTTGGAAAATGTCTTAATAGTACTATTGCAGCTGTATCTAACCACGTTTTGAGTACTATTTCAACTGTACCTAACCATGTTTTGATGAAAAATGGATTTGAGGTGCCTCTCCAGATGTCTGGAACACTCCCTGCACTCTGGGCCTTTCTGTCACCTCCTGAGAGCGCTGTGCCCACGGGAGCCAAGTCTCTGCCCACAGAGCAGGACAAATGCCCTAGTTACCCTCTTACCTCTGGACACCCACAGAGGCTTCCCTACCTGGCTCAGGATCTGCCTAGGGAGCATCCTTTGCTGACTGAGGGTACAAAGGGTGGCTGCCTCTGCAGTGGGCAAAGGACGGGATCTGAAAGGATCCTGAAACGCTGTCCTCTCTCTCCTGTCTGGGTTGTTGATAGGGATGGGGGGGTGGAGGCTGGTAATCTACACAGCACACTTAGGGACTGTCATGGGTTGAACTGTGTCTCTTGAAGATGCTGAAGTCCTAACCCCCAATACCTATGAATGTGACCTAATTTGGAAATAGGGTCTTTGCAGGTGATCAAGTTAAAATGAGGTCATTAAGGTGGGCCCGAATCCAATATCACTGTGCCCTTACAATAAGGGGAAATTTGGCCCCAGAGTCAGTCATGCACACCGGGAGATCGCCAGGTGACCATGAAGGCAGAGACTGGGGTGAGGTGTCTACAAGCCAAGGAACACTAAAGATTGCCAGCAAACTACTAGAAGCTAGGAGAGAGGCCTGGAACAGACTCTCCTTCAGAGCCCTCAGAAGGAACCAACTCTGTTCACACTTTGAACTCGGACTTCTGGTCTCCAAACTGTGAGAAGTAAATGTCTGTTGCTGAAGCTGCTCAGTGTGTGGCACAGCACAGAAGCTCTAGCAAATACCGGGACCACGGTTCTGAGGCCTCTTCCTGGCCCTTTTCCACAAACGCAAGAAAACGAAAACCCAGTCCTGGGAGAACAACGTCAGGTCGGTGAGTTGAATTCACTCACTCAGCAACTGGACGATGAGGTTTCTTAAGAGAGTGACGAGTCCTCCCAGTGTGGCTGAGCTTCACTTGATAAGGTCTCCCCAGTCCCCTTAGAAATAGATTTCCAAAACTGGAAGAATTTGTTCATTTTGACTCCCCCCACCAGGGCCACTGCCCTCGTCCAAGACCAGTCCTTGGAGTCCGAGTTTTGGTTTACCCTCTGCCAGCTCCACCTTTTCTGTGGTGGGCTTTCCCTGCTGCCTGCGACTTCCTATCTCCCGCGTTCGCTTTCTTGAACACCCTTCACCGGCACATCTGCCTGCTGAAGACCTATCCACGCTTCAAGACCCATGCAGGCTCCACGTCCCCCAGGCCGTGCGTGCTGGGTTCCTTCTGGCTGGCAGGGTTCTGAGTTTGGAGGGAGGAAAGCAGACCCTGGAGCCAGGCTGGCCGGCTTTACCCGTACAAGGGGGTAACAGCACCCGCCTCCCACGGCTGGGCGGTTAGATGAGCTCATGCAGGTAAAGTGCTCAGTGCCTGGCACAGGGAGAGCTATGTGACAGTGACTCTGTCATGGGCTAGAGCGTTCCTCCGGGTGTCCACACAGCTACAGCCCGGGAAGCAGGGCCCCGTCTGTCCCCCTGATCATTCTGTGAGTGAGGCAGGAAAGACAGTGTCATCCTCACCCCCTCCACCTTCCACGCCTGTCTGCTGAAGGTGCTCTGCGTGCCTCTGAGATGGCAGCCCCTCACACAAGAGGAAGAGATCTACGAAGGAGAAGTGGTTTGGGGTGAGGTCTTATGGCACAGATGGTTGACAGCAGGATCCTACGTTAGACATTCTGGCTACTTCCTGTGCAAGATAGCCCAAAGCAGAGATTCTGTCTACCATTCCCACCCCATTAAAGCCATTTTGAGGAAGGGCAAGGACGGAGGTTCCACTGATGGCGGCACTGGGGAGATCTGGAGAAACTCTGATTGTGCTCAGGCCCTGGCCCCAGGGAAAATCTGTTCTGCTCCAGGAATCGGCCTCACCTCCTGCCACGCCTCACACTCCAGCCACACCCGGTTACTCCCTGTTCCCTGAATACAAGAGCAATTTCCCCACAGCCTGGAAGGCGCCTCCTTGGAATGTTCCTCTGATCCTTGAGGCTCAGCTGATCCATCTCCCTGTGCGGGCCACTCCCATCACCATATGGGATTGTGCTGAAGTTCCAGGACCGCAGATAAGCCTCCCTTGGGAGATGGTGAATCCCTTGAAAGCCCACAGTATGCTGTTGTCTCAACCGCCTTTCCTCCCAACAACCAGCATATGGTAGGTGTTTACTACATGTTCCTCGTGTGAATGAAAATCTACTGAAATTGGTCAACTGTCTTCTCGGCAGAAGTAAGCAAATGGTTAAGGTATCCAGTTTTAAATCTTTATGAAAAGCTTAATATATAAAGAGTTCTTTGTTTAGTAAGCATTTGCTCCATGTGCTAATATGACGACAGCCACTTGGCTGGAGCCATCGCCCTGGAAGCATCCTCCCACTGCATACACCCGGGCGGCGCGCGCTCTCTCCTGCGCAAGCCATGGTCCTCACTCTAGCAAGATGCCCACGGCTTCT